GAGACGCCCCCAAAATTCTTCGAAGTGTGTAGCTAACGGCACGCACCCTATCTGAAAATGTTCCTCCCCTCCCCCTCCCCCCCCCCCCTCCCGACGAAAATCCTGCGATCGTCACTGGTCTGCGCGTATGCCAGAATTAGGTTGAAGCAGTCGCTATGCAGCCGCGCGCCTCAGCTGCAAGAGCAATTGGCGCAAAGCGGCTACTGGTTGCAAAAGCGACAATCGGCGAGATCTGAAGGCTCCCTTAGCCTTCTTCACTCTCCATCGCTTACTTGACACTTGCAGGAGCCACCTCTTAATATCCATTTCCGACCAGCAAATTACCAGTATTTTTCGGTACGCAACAACGCACTGGAAATCAAGCAAAGCTTTCAACAGAGTTCACACAGCCACACTTACCCCTACCAATGGCTGTCCGAGAAATGTTCAAAGGCAGGCACAGGATCTTCCTCATGAAAAGCTTTTTTTCCGAAAACTTTTTTGAGATGCTTTTCAACTTTTAGCAGGCTCATATTCCAAAACTATTGGAAAGGGCGTGGCCACAGCTAAGTCGAAATTTTTTTGCTAAAACTCGATTTTTTGAGTTCTAAAGGTTGTTTTCAATCATGTACAAATAAAAAAGTCGTAATACTTACTCAGAACTCATTGGTATCACCTTCCTCTTGGTTCGCAGATAAAACCCACCTTTTTTTCCACCTAAAAGAAGAAAGTATATAAGCAGTCCAAGAAGATGAGTAAGAGAAGTCCGAGAAGAAGAGCAATCCAGATGAATTCTCATGCGTTTTCTCAATCCTGCTGCCTCTTGTCCGGTATCAGAGAGCAGGAGTCCCCCATTAGGAATTAATCCCTTTATGATTAGGAGACTTTTGCGAGATGTGAGTCCAGCAGTATCGTTAACATCTGGTGATGTTCCGACCATCTTTTACAAGATGTTCGCTAATAATATTGACCTTTCCCTTAGCTCACATTTTCAATGTTCACCTGAAGATGGCAAAAGTCCCTCAGCTGTTGAAATCCACTTTGTCACATCTCTGCCTAAGACCTTTAACCCCAAACTTTCTGATTACAGACCAATGAGCATTTCGCCTACACCTTGCAAATTACATGAAAAGATTATTTCAAAAAATCTGATGAAATGACTGGGCAAAACGCAATGTCTCCCGGAGCTGTAGCATGGATTTCTACAAGGCCGATTTACCGGTACCAGCTTCTTGATGTCCAGTTCGATTAGACAGAAGCCTTAAGCTTAAACCAATCAATAGATGCAGTTTATTTCGGCTTAAGTAAAGCATTTGATGCAGTAGTTTATAATCTGCTTTTGGCCAAGTTAGAGAGCTTGGGAGTCAGAGGCTTACAGCTAAGGTTGTTCGAATTCTGTCTTTATGACAGACTTTTTCTGTCTGAATCCCTGATAAAATTTTCACGACAAGATCATGCAAATTGGGGGTTCCACAAGGCATTATCCTGTCGTCAATTCTACTTGTTATATACACTGTCGACTTACCAAACTTCCACACCATGGATCCGAGAACTAGAGTGGCTGTGTACGCGGTTATATCAAAATTTATATCGCTTATGACCAGCATGATAAGGATAGAGCCAATGTAGCATCCTAGTCATTCCCTCGAATGAGTAAATTACGCCAAAAGCTGCGCAGTCCCCATTGGCAGAAATTTGTTTCATCTTAGAGATAACTTTGAACTCGAATGCAAAATTTGATCAAAGATTTGGGTGTTTATGCGGATTCTAAGCTGTAATATTCAATTCACACAAATCAAATCTCATCTGAGGTACTCGAACACTTATGTTAATGCGCACTGTTCAGTCTTGTGACCCCGGATTTATATTGAAAATCTCAAGACCCTCGTGTTCTGTCATGGTAGAGTTTTGCAGCTTTGTATGGAATCTTACATTGAAATCTTAGCCGCGAATTTAGCAGCTCAACAGAGGCATAGCTAAAGAAAGTAGGTATTCTGCAGTTATGTGGATTTGATGACGTTATGTAATTTGCCTCTTATTGCAGTAAGTTAATCTCTCTCGGCATGATCTTTTGCGCATTTTTGACCATTTATAATTGCTGCTACCAGCTGCTTGACACAGAGTTATGAGAATTTGCAGTATTCGTTCGCCTTCCCAATATTTGTTTCAACAGGTTCTGCTCGGTTTGCATGGTTCTAAATGCGGCTCAGCCCATATGGCAGTGATCCGAAGCTACATGCAAGCTCCAAAGGCACAATGTTACACTGTGACGGGAAAGTACGTTTCTGGCTGGTATGAGAAAGACGTCTCCTGCCTACTCGTCCGTGTTCCTCGTTTTCTGTCAGATCTAGTGGTAGCAGGAGTGTTCTTATTCTAGCTAGCTTCATCTCATGCATGGGAGTAACTTTCTTGTTTTATTTGTTGTTGCTAACAATACGGTGTGCTGTTGCATTGCGCTGTTTTCTAAACACTCCAGATAGATAGTAGAGTTAGCAGAGCACTTTTAAGTGCATCGAAAATCCAAAAACAAAGTTCATAGAAGAAATAAAAGTCACGGAACATTTGCAACTTGAAGCATGCTCTCTGGTGCTACGGACCGAACCCATGGATTGAAGAACGCAAGCATTTTTGCTTCGAAACCTCTTTTGACAACAAGGACTTTCTCGAGATTGGTTATGTCTGGTAATTAGCTTATCTTGTTGCCGCATGCAACTGTATCTGTAAGGAAAGCTTAAGCCAAATAGATTAGCAAAAAGAAAAAACTATATTTGCTTGCCTTTCTAAACCTTTTTGCAGGTTCTTACCTCTGAGCAACTAAAATTTTTTGCAAAAAATGTTTACCCTATTTTCAGGTGTATAAGCCGCACCCTTTTCGCTTTAAAGGCAGTGTCCGGGCAAAAACTCGATCTTGAGATTTTCTGCTTACCCGGGCCTATTCGCTACGCAGAATCCGAATATCCACATTGGAAAGCGCGAAAACGGCGAAAAAGGGTTCTAGCACGGGAGGGAAATCAGCAGGTGGGCGGGGTCCTCCCCACTGTGAATTCACGCCCCCAGCTTCCAGAGCAATCTTCTCGGTTCCGATTTCAAGTCATGCATTCGCACTTGACCGGTGGAGACCTCAGGGCGCTAGAGGAATTGGGAAAATCGCTCCAGAAGCTGGGAGTGCGAAATCCGCAGTGGGGAGGACCTCGCCCACTTTCGATTTCCTCCCTGCATTAGAGCCCTTTTTTGCCGTTTTTGCGCTTTCCAATGTGGATTTCGGATTCAGCCTAGTGAATAGGCCCGAGTAAGCACAAATCTCAAAATCGACTTTTTGCCCGGACACTGCCTTTAAAGGCGAAAACGTCAAAAGACTGACTGTCATCGTGGAGCGCGTTAAGTGAGAACAGTATGCGATAAGGCGACCGCTTCGCGAGACATATGCGCGGCGGCACCTGGGTCTGCTCACGTTTAGAGCAAAAAGGGTGTGGCTTATACACCTGAAAATAGGGTATAAGATGCCCTACCCTCACGCTTACAGAAACGATCAGAGCTTCCGCATGTCTTCTTTTCTCTAGAAAAAAATCAGTTTTGCGATATGGCATTTGCCCAATCGCAGGAAACTCGGTCCACGTAAAGATCAGGGCTCGGTACAGGAGGCTCACAGTGCAAGCTGGGTATCTTGGAGTAGAAAGCAAGGGAGATATCGTTTAAGCGGAAACCTCCCCCTTCCTCTCCCATAATCACCTTTTCCCTCTTATGTCACCCTTCATCTTTTATAGAGGACGCAGATTGTCATCCCCGCCTTATCGATCCCATTCCTGCAAAAACCGAAAAATCTCTGTTTCGACGGTTTGCCGGTTAAGCGCGAAAGAATTCAAAAACCTGCCCCGAAATAAACAAAAGCCTTGTCTACAGCGAAGAGGAAATGAAATGACACCAATACTGGTATGTAGATGGGCAATGGGGAGATAGTAATATAGATGAAAAATTATGAAAAAATTATGTGAATTGAAAGCGTGGCAAATTTTTTTGGAGGTAGGTGGCTTTCCTGTCACCTGGACAGCCACCCGAGGTGCTGTAAAAAGAAAAGTCGTAAATTTCCCTTCCTTTACATCATTTCACAAGTTGAGCACATCTTTTTTCTACATCAAAAACCCTACAACAGTGTTTTTGAATCTCCCCAAACCCCCCCCCCCCCTCCCCCTCCTCGCCAAGTTACAGCCCTCTAAATATTTTGTATTTATATTCGGCGACAAGCCTGCTCCGAGCGCGTAACGGTGCGCGGCGGATACAGCATGCCGCCAATTCGTAGAATATGAAGTTTGAAAAAGTCACCTCATGCCCAGCCCTGGTAGCTCTAGCAAATTCAAGGGCGCTACTCTCAAGTTGGTTCCTTGACTAGAATCCTTCAGAAGCACAAACACAAAGTTCCAGCGTTCTGCAAATACTAGTCCCCGGGGATAGTAATTTAGCCTAATAGCCCGAAAAAAGGCGATATTTTTCTGTATTCCAGCTTTAGCCATAAAAATGAGCTAGTGCACATATGAATGTCTGAGCTAGTGTACACATCATGTGCATATCATTGTCTGATACGGGAAGTTATGGTGATCAAATCGAAGTTACTCTGGATTTGGACAAAGGATTTTTGAGTAGTTTAAATTTGAATTTTGACTTCGCCTGGATCGAACTTTTCGCGAGTCTGCAAAACCATTTCCATAGCTTTCTTTCTCTATCGACTACATGTTTCTTGCGTTTTTATTTACCTGCCTTGATCGCGTAAGAAACGCGCATTTTAGGTATAAATCTCAATTATCGGCCAACCTAAATGTCCGTAGGGGCTTTACTTGCACTAGTGATTACATCCCAGCACTTGGATGTAAATGGATCTCATTTCGAGCTTTATTAATTACAATGGTACTGACAAAAATCAATGCAGTCAATTGCTCGTTTTTGGCGAAGTTCAAATATTGGCATCTAAGTGCTCATTACACTCGACTTTATATAGCTCATCAAAACCATAGGAGCATTGATGCGAAATGTACGCCAGCTTGATATTGGTGGTAAGTCTTGTTTAGAGCGATAAGAGGCTGCTTTACACCAGAATTTCTAGCTGCTATCTATTGCTGCTCCCATTTTGGCTTTTCCGAATGCGAGCTGTGAATCGACTGAAAGAGTGACTGATGTGGTGACGCGGCAGATCCCGTCATTGCAGAAACTTGTACGTGTTCCCTAAGTTACATTATTATTCTTCAATCAAAATGTAGCAGATGATGGTCCTTCAAAATTTGAGTATCTTTCCCATTAGTGTTCTTTTATTTACACAAGTCAATGCTTAGCAGCGATTGTGCAGAGGAATAACTTCTTAATCTAATCTTCTTTCGAAGGCGAGGAAATTATATGACTGAGAAAAATTTAATTATGTGTTTTGCGTTACGCAATTCTGGATAAACATAATGCGCTAATTTCGACTGCATGCTCCCTACCAGCACCGAAATAGATGCATCAATTTTTTTAGGAAGATTTCCACTCACTGGACATCTCTCTGGGATCAGTAGTAGTCAATTGCGCGTAATAAAAGCCGATATTTTCAGAATGAAGCTTGGCAGAAGGAAATAGTAATTTGGACTCATCGTTCTGAACTGAACCCGAATGTGTGTGCACATTTTTTGAGAATCCAACTAAAAGGGAACCATATTTAGTCGAAATGATCTTTTAGACGGGATGTATATCGTATTGGAGAGCATAAAACCCTATGATAAGCCTGCCTCCCTTATCTGCGGAACATTTATGGATGAGGAGTTATTAACCTTTTAAGAGCAAATAAATCACATGTGCTAATAGGTCGAAAACTGTTGTAATAATTTCCTACCGCTTTAATGAAGCATTGATTATTATCAGAGCAACTTATTCAATAAGGACCCTTGTAAAAATCTATCACATTTAGCTGTTTTATTTAAGGGCTAGTATGAATTCAGCAACTCATTTGATATCAACTGCACATTAAATTTTTTGCCCCAATAAACGCTCGAAATGATTCCTCGTTCTCAAATGTTCCGCAGTTAAGGAATGTATTATAGACGGGAATCAGCGTTCCATGCTTTCTAAAACCTAAACATCCCATCTAAAAACGCCACCGACTAAACAGAGGTCCCTTGTAAATTAGATTCTTTTTCTTGCCTGGAGCTAAGGCTAGCGAATCAGTTGGAAATGATCGATTAAGAGAGCACAAGCAGTGCAGGAATTTTCGATATTTTTGATTAATTCACTACCAAAACAATTTTCGATTTTTTGGTGCCAGTTACTCTTTGAAACGCAAAGTGGATCCAAGCAAAAATCTTATGAAGTTTTGAGAGGAAGAAAAGACAAAAGATAAATTTTTTGAGATCGCTCAGTTTGAGTGAACTACTCAGGGGAAAAAGGCTTGTCCGTCTTAATAACGAGAGTTTACCTAGGATGTGCAGGCACAAGCAAAGCTTAAGCCATTTTTACTGTATGTATCCTATACACTCATTGAATCAGCACAGAAAAAGCTCGTCAGGCATGCCTATTCGTGCAAATTCTGCCTTCAGTTCCTTTACACAAAATAAAACGTAATAGAATTTTCAGTATTAAAGCTCCACATTTCGAAACTCATTCCAGTCTCATACATGCGAATTTGGTTTTGCTGCCTCGTATCTTCTCGAAAAGTTGAAAAAAGCCGAAGTCAAAAAGCGCCTGCCACCCCTCATAAGAGTACTGGACTGGAAAGGCAAAACTGTGCTTTTGACCACTTACAAGTAGGCAAGAGTTCGTAATTGGTACTATATTTTATTGTCCGTAACTGCAGGAAATGCAAAAACGCGTGGTATTGTGTGAAGACACTTCTTCGCAAAGGAAAGAAGGGTAATAGGATAATCAAGTCGGTAAGGGAACTTCGCAAAGAGTTTATGTAGTTTTTGTTCTTCGGGTGCAAGAGATGAGAGATGTAATTTGTTTATTCAATCCAGGTTTCTCCTTCAACGCGAAATCAAACTGAATAAGAGTGTAGCCATTATTGCTTGATTCAGTACAGTGGGAGATGCAAAATGCAAAAAAAAATTTCTTTACGAATTTTTTTATCAGTGAGCGCAAACCGAAGTTCTCCGCATCCAATTAATGAAAGCAACTTCTTGAATTCATCCAAGACAAGATCTCTACTAGCCTAATCGGATTTTATTGTTTCAGATCAAACGGCAATCAAAGGGAGCAAATTCAATCGGATGCGATCTGTGGAGAAGGAAACAAAGAACCGCTCTTTTCTGTGTCTTCTCACCCAAAATACTTGAATATGATGACCACTATATTGACTACAATCAAGTTAACCCTTTTCCCGATAGCTATGAAGATTACGCTGTCGAAGATCCGAATGCAACTTTCACTAACCTCAGCTATTAAAGTAGTAAAGCATGCAAAGCTGACATTTCCTTTTTTACTTTGATTTGATGTTATGTGTTCTTATCATGGCAGGCTTTCTAGAGATGTTGAGCTTTCTAGCGTAGAAATATGGGGATTTGCTTTTTTTGAGACTCTCGTTTCTTGTTACTAGTACCTGAGCAAAGAAATGTGTTTCAGTTCCCCATTTTCAGTAAATGATAGTTTAGTAACACATGATATAGTGTGAGCATTGTGAATGTAGCCTTTTGATCTAGTTGCTAGTAGTTTTTGGCAGTACCAGTCGTATTTGCAATGCCCAACCACATACAACTGATTGTGAGCACCTAATTTGGGTGGAAAAGACGGCCTGCGACGAACATATTAATCTTAACAAAACCGCCGGAACTCCAAAACTTTGTTCAAAATGATTTTCGCTGGGTCGAACTGTTTTGAGAACAAAATCTCACAAGGGTTCGAGAACCATCGAAAATCCAGAGTTCACTCTATAGAAAGAGTTTTCATTGAATCACCCTGATGGAAAGGTAACGACGAAATCGTCACTCCCATAATTTTCGCTCAAATTGATTTTTTCCCATTTTATTTTAAGTTTTACAACCGCGAGTTGCTGTTGTTTCTAAAAATATGACTAGGAATGTAAACAGGTCACATCTCTCTGAATGATGATTAGGCAACGTTTTTGCCACGATTTTTCGTCGCGGCGATTCACTGAAAACCTTTTGATTAAAAGTAAGTTCTGAATGTTGATTTTTCAAATTGTTGCAAGATTTTTTTTGAATATCACGATCCGACCTCTTGAAAGTCATTTTGAACAAAGTTATGGAGTTACGGTTTCGTTCAACATTGGTACATCGCAGGCCTTCTTTTTCCATCCGAATTAGAGGCTCAGATTTAGACGAGAAAGGCCAACAGAGCGCACTACGTGAGCAAATCCAGAATTGCTCGAAGTAACCACCGCAATTTTATCATTACCTTCCATCGAAGAAGTACACACCTAAGTTTAATGAAAAGCTGCCGGAGAACTCCTAAAAATTGTAGCGAAAGTTTGATCCGTGGTCTCTCCATGTATTAGGTTGTAGAGATAGTTCTGCCAATTTTTCGTATATCGCAACACTGGCGAATGCAAGTGTCCTCAAAGCGCGATGGCGCCAGCTTCCAGATACGATATAGGCTTGAAAAATAACGATAAATAAGGAGGAACCACCCCCAAAAAAGGAAAGATACCGTGTGCCCAGGTCAGCGAAAAGGCACATTTTCAGGTTGTAAATGCGCAGAACTTGCAGAAGCTTGATTCATAAACCCGCCTTTATACCTTTCGTACTGGACAGATAATGCGACGTCCGACTAATACTAATACTTGCTCCGTTAGTTGGGACTTTTTTCAAACAAAATATTGCCCATTGACTTCGGCGTCGAAAAAGTAAAACTCTCCAATTGTTTCAAAGCGCAACCAATGCGCTTTCCGGAAAAGGACATCAATAAGATATTACCCTAAAATCCGTACAATAAGTCCGCCTATCAGATAAGTCCGCAGAAGAACTAACAGTTAAGTCCGCTTTCTTGACAACGAAAGTCGCCCCGCGCCGCCAAAAGTCCTGCAGATAGTCCTGCAGATAAGTCGCTTTCTCATGCTCAGGATAGGCGAACTTATCTGCTGCGGACTTATCTGATAGTGGATTTAGGAGGACTTATCTGGTAGACTTTTGGCGGCGCAGAGGGCGTTTTTTCATCGATTTTTCGCGTCGAAACTGCAGATAAGTCCGGACTTATTGTACGGATTTTAGGGTATGAGTATTCTAAGGTTGTAAGTACACTTGACAAAAATATCGTGGATTAACAGCCGTTTACGCCAAAACGGTGCACTGAGCTGCCGGCGAAATGTCCTAGACTACGCTTGCAAGTCTCATTGTTGTTAAAAAAACAAAGTGCAAGATTTATTTTTAGGGAGCTCATTTATTAGTCCTATGAATAACTGTACACAACAATAATGGGATTCCGAAAGGCAAAAATGTCCTCTCATTATTAAAGGTGCCCCTTCATTATTTTAAAAATAACTTGTTCTTAGAACAAGTGCATGTTTTTGTGACCACAAAAGAACTGGAAGTGTAGTTGGACAAGAAGTATACTAGTTAGCGTGGTTGCGCGCTTCTACCGTAACATGGTTGTTCAACTTTGATTCCAAACCTGCATTTGGATTGAGAATGAGATGAAAAAAAAACTTTGTGCACATGAAAATTGCACGCAGAACCGTAAATTTCCAAGAGTGGTTGTTCTACCCCTACAGTTCTTTGACACATTAACGACAAGGCCGATTTTTCGACGATTGCCATTTCAGACCAGAGCATATTTCGCAATCAGTTTGCGTAAAACTTTTAGGCCGCTAATGGATCTTATGGTCTAAAGTGTTATTCTTTTGGGAAGTACTTCAAGAGATGTATACAAGAGTTTGTAGGTTTGCCCAAAAGATTGTATCGTGAACTAGCGAAAACAAAAATTTTCAGAAAGCATACGACCCACCGATGGGTCGTATTTAATAGGTTGTCCGGAAATTAATGCAGGTTTTGCAGATTTTCACTTCAAAGCGTCATAACTCCTTTGAAATTGCATCTTTTGAAATGAGGTGAAAACTAGCGTGATCAGCAAGTCTTTATCTATCTAAGGCATTCCCAATTATTTCTGTAGCTCCAACAAGCAAATTACTGGAAACCAGAAAGTAAAAAGGTTTTTCTTTAACAAGTTCATATTTGGCAAATTATAAACTCCTATCGAATATGAGTGCTCAGCGAGAAACTTCTGCAGCTTATAGTTACAGACCAGTACTACATATACAGCTTTGCAGAAATTTTCAAAGGAATTTTCTGCAAAAGAAAAAATTACAAAATCCAAATTTTACATTTTCCAATATCTCCTCCGCGAACGCGATTCCGATAATTTTGATTTTTTTATTGACTCAAAAAAATAAAGCTTGAGAGGTACCAGCTGAAATAATATCTGACGGCACTGGCCTCACTCTTTAAGCACGAGGAGAGACTTTCACGGTTGCTTTCTTTAGAAAAGATTTTTACGCCATGGAGTCGCCGCGACAATTATTCATGATAAAGCCTCAATTTCCCTGCTCTCACAATAGTTTAAAGACAGTGCTACTATTTATTTTGCAGGTTCACTCAATATCTTGCTTCAGCTATATTATCATGGAAATACCCTTCTTGCCGAATAAGTTCAGGCCAAAATAGTGCAAAAGGTAAATTTTGTAATCAGAAGCTTCATCTTCGGACGGTTGTAGATTTCAAAGAAACGAAGTCGATCCTAGAAGTAATACATATAAGAGAGAGCATGAAGAGGGTTTTCTTATAGTATGCGAAGTTGGTCGAAAGATGCACATATACAGAAGAATGATCCTTTTGAAAATGCATTTGCAGAAACCTGCATTAATTTCCGGACAACCTAATGAATAAGTTAAAGGCACCGTCCACCGGGATTCTCGACTTCCATGTTTTAGTCGTTCAGGGGCCTTCTCATGTTTCTGAATCTGAATATGAAGTCGACAATGGAAAAAACCCGCAGCACGGCCCTCCAAAACGGAAATTTGGGCGCGCACGGATGAGCGGAGATTACTGGAGGGGGCGGTGTCGACATGGGGTCCTCAGGCATCTATTCCGAAGTGATTTTCTAGCTTTCGAAACGACATTTTGTGCCGCGATAGGCTCTGACTTCATAGGAAGTCCTATCGTAAGTTGCTAAAAGCTCAAGACCCCTTAGGCTGGACGGTGCCTTCAATCATTATGCGCTTCTCTAACTCCAGCATGGTCATTGTCGGTGTGATGATTGAAGTGAAGGTGTAAGTGCACTTTGGAGCTGAATGTACAAATCATCTTTCAGAACTAGCCGAAGCAAGGCGGCAATTTCTCTCAATTTAAAAAATCATTCTTTCGTGCATTTTTGGTAGTGGATAAAATTGAACGAATCGTGTATCCTTGACCAATATGGCATGCCAACAATGTTTCAAAGCTCAGATACTCTAAAACTGTCAATCGTATTTCTTACAACTGTGCTCATATTAACCGCGTTTTCCGCTTCCAGGGAACGAGTGGCCAGTGGTATGGAGCGCCACTATCATATTTGTTTCTTTATTTGGTGCGCCCGATGGCGTGCTTCATACAACAAGTGGATGCTTCGAACATTATCAGGGGATGGAAGTTCAAATTTCGCTCTTGAGCTTACCGAGCCTTCACTCAAAAAATGAAGCCGAGATTTGTTGACTGGATGTCCCCGAAAATTGTTGCAAAGGCTCGCACGCATTCAAAAGCTTCCTTATTATGGAAGTGGAAGACTTTGAACCTGCAGAGGGCACAGTGCAAAATGTGGCATTGAAGACATGTATTAGGTTGATGCAAAAATAATGGCCGTTTTGCAAATGTTCGCTTTCCTCTGCTATAACTTTTTAAAGATCTACTTTCTCAATGCGATGAAGATATCAGAAGCAGCAAAGCTTTAGCAATATATATTCACTTATACTCATATCACAAACGGGCAGAAAAATACGAATTGAAAAGCAAAAAAAAGTTTTTTCTGAGACCTCAATTTGATATTAACTCCCTTCAAAGTTTCTTAGTATAAATGATGATTTTATCTTATAGCCGCAAACCAGTAGTACAAATGAAAATCAATAGGGATCGGAACCAGTAGTACAAATGAAAATGAATAGGGATCGGGACAAAGAAGATTTGCAGAAAGAGAAAAATTGAAGTCAAAAATTATAAACTCTCTTGAAGTAATTTTCATAGGCCTCAAAGTCCCAGATTATGAAGTTTTCTTATTTTTGGTACTGAATAGCTGAATGCCTAATCACATAACCGTCAACGAGATGCACTATTCTTACGCTCACAATGAGCAAAGCTTTGACGATTGCCTTCTTGGAAAGGAATTTATGGGTCATAGAATTACCGCAACGTCTGCCCTTGTTGAAGCGCCGATATCTCAGTCTAAGCAATTTCAAAGAAGTT